CGTTGAGAGTGAATTGACCCAAAATGACTTCTTGAATTGAATGATGATTGTAATAATACTAATGAAATGATGGAAGGAGTCGAAGTGATATGAACTCTGTCAGCTCTACCAACAGTTTTTCGATTTCGATATGCTCGAGATTTTCATTTGAATGCACACACACACACACACCTGACATTGTGTAGTGCTAATAAATCACAAGTGCAGTGATTTGTCATTTGACTCATTCGAATTTACGATTGGATACAGCCAATAAAAATCGATGTTTTTGGTGGTGTTATTGGTGTTGGAGGAATTAGATTTAGTTTGAGAAAATATATGTTCATAATTCTAATGGATTGACGAGTGAAAAATGCACGTCTTGAACATATGTTCCATTAAACTAAACAAGCAAGCGAATTGAATTTATGAAGTTTTTTTATTTATCGTTTCTCGTTTCTTTTCGTCTTGTTTGTTCCATTTTATCTGATAGTGAGTTTGTCAACTGTTGAATTGCGATGGGATTGAAATCGAATTTGATTTTACTTGCTTCCCTTCCATCATTAAGCGGAAGTGAAGAGTAGGCGAAGGCTAAACGCTTAGTGAACAGAGAGTACGAATGTTGTACGAATAAATGCTCATCTATTTCTAGTTTGTCGGACAAATCTTTGCAGATCTATGCAAATGAGTATCCGACTTGTGTTTTAACATAATATCAATCAGTCGAAGGAAATACCCAATGTGGATGTAAAATTACTTCATCGAAATAGGGCAATTTGACACGATAAATTAGTATTGTATAATCTTTTTCACAATAGAGTAGCGTCATTGAGGTGTTTCAAATTTCAAACATGAGAATCGTTTGAACTGTTAGAAGATTTTGACTGTCGCTGAATTGACTATGGCTCTAGTTCATAGAAATTTTCTGAAGGATTTCGGTGATGCTGCTGGTGCGGGTGGTTTCGGAGCTGGTGGTATACCGCCTGGCTTCGATCAAATATTCAAAGACCCCGAAATCTTGACGCTCATCAAAGATCCAGCCGTAATGGCCGCCTACACGGACATCATGAAAGATCCGGCGAATATGGCCAAGCATATGAGTAATCCAAAAGTGCTGAAGTTGTTCGAGAAACTCGGTGGACTTACGGGTGCATTCCCGGCTGGAATGACACCACCAACGGTTTGTGGCGTTGATTACTTCGGAGAAGATGATTGAATGTTATCAGAAGAAACGTTTGCTTGTTGAAAGTAATAGTGTAAAGATGGAGGAGTGTTTGATCAATGGAGGAATGTTCAGTATCAATTGCTTCTGAAAATTTCGAATTTGCAATCAAACAGATAGAATTTATTAAGAGATGAGCACATATTTGAGATTTGTAACTTGTTGTTTGGAGAGGAGATGCCAATGGCGTAGGTAAGTAAGTGGTAAGAGCGATTGACTAGTGATCAAGTGTGAAATGATTTCAGGCTGGTGCAGGATCTGCGTCAACCGCTCCACCTTCAAGCAAGGTGCCTGAGCCAGATCTTGATTGATTGACT